CCACGTAGCCCACGGGCAGCTCGGGGTCGCGCGCCTCGCGAACGTGCTCGTCTGGGCTGTAAACAGCATGTGAGTGCTCTACGACGCACGCGCAGAATTCTGAATTTCGCTTCACAGTAGCCAGCGAACGGGAACGCGAACAGGAACACAGAAAGAATCGCGAACGGGAACGCAAACGGAACGCAAAAAATAACGCGAACGGGAACGCGAACCGTAACGCGAACGGTAATGTGAACGGGAACAACGAAAACGGGAACGCGAACGGAAACGGGAACGCGAAAAGGAACAGCAACGCGAACACGAACGTAATGGAAGTTGCAAGACGAACATCTCAGGCAGACGTTCACAAAACGACGGGAACTCGAAGATTGACGGAAACGGGAAGGATGGTCAAGATTTATCTTCACTTGGGACCGGGAATCCTCTCGATCAATGAAAGTACAGTAAATGACGCCGGATTTTTCTCAGCTGATCGAGCGCGCGATACTGGGCTGGAACGCAGCTGAGAGTATCGTCCGATATTCACGTTAAAGTGTGGATTTGCGAAGTTACGGTTTGAGGCTGGTGTTGTTAGTCATTATTGAGATGTCTCAGATCTGTTTAATAATACTTATAGTTTACTTATTTTTCTATCGATATCAATACCTAGAATTAAATATCCCCCAAAATTAGTTTTATGTATTTCCTTTAAGCACATTGCAGTTGTTAGTTTTTTGATAAAAATTTTAGTTGGTTGTGTTATCTCGAGTTCCCGTTCCCATCCTGGCTTTTGCGTTGCCGTTCCCGCTCGCGGGCTATTGTGGAGAGGCCTTTATTCTGTGCGTATTCCTTTGGAATATCGTTGTCGGTAGCGCAGAAATAGACGGATGAATGGCGATTCGCAATTGTTAACATTATTTCGGATGTTGCCATATGGTTGCAGAGGCTCCGAATATTATAGTCGCGAATTATAGTAAAACTTAAAAGTTAATTTCAATGTGGAAATAAGAGCTCCAGCATGTTACCATGGAACAGTCTCTGATTTCGTCTCCAACGCCAAAAGTGCTGTAAGAATTTTCGCAAAGGGAAGTTTAGAAAATAAGTGGAAAAAATATTTAAACAGGTTGTAGTAAGGCCAAGGTATGTTTTAGGTATCATTGAGTTAGAATAAGAATTGTTATTTTCCTTTAATAGATATTCGATAGCCATAAAAATATGTAATAATAAGAAATATTTAAATGAATTTTTTTTAAAATTTTAAAGTTGTTGTTTAAAGTTACAAGTTGTATGATTTTTGAAGTAAGATTAGTTAAAGAATACTTCTAACAAAAGTTAAATCATTTACCATCCGAATACTCTTTTGAGCGATATTTGCTAGCTCAGGACAAAATAACAGTACCGTGAGTAGATATGAGTATGCTGAAGTTCTAAAACTTAAATATACACTAGAGCAATTTATTTCCATTCCATTAAATTAAATACAAAAGAAATTATTGAGGTAAAAATATAGAGATTGAATTATAAGTAAGATGAATTGATGAGAAGTGTGTTTGAATTATAAGGGAGAAATTACGAGTAACTACAATCGCATGCCCAACGTGAGGCAGTAATATATTGTAAATTTATTACCAGGCAGTGATTGCGAGTTGCTACAGTACCTTACCTTGTTACTGTCTCAAGTGCTTCATTTGTTTGTCGTTGTCAATCAATGCCATCAGATTAGTTAATATTACACGATATATTTGTGAAATTATCTACCCAAAAAAAGAGGCTGGGAATGTCAAGCGTTAAATGTGAGTGTGTCGTTCCCAATTTCTGTACATCAACATATTGTGTTCAAATGGCATTTGTGCTAAGCACGAAGAAACTGTTATTGCGTGTGTTAAATTAAGTACATTTATTATGAGTAACTGCGTGAACAAAACTAAATTCATTGGGCGAAAATAATCTCACAGAGAAGCAAGAACTAAGTTACTCGTTAACCTGAGTACTGAAGATGTTGAAAATATATTCAAGTTCTTACCTGTGGAATTCGCATATGAACTCTCTCTTCCAGTCACAGTTGCCAGTGCCCAAGAGGCCATCTGCACTCACCACTCCACATCGCAAGTCCTCCGTTGGTTCGTCGGAGGCCCACTCAATGAATCCAGCCTCCTGCAATGTAGTCCCTGAACAATAAATATGGCAAGTCACATAAATCCTGTGAGTCGTCCAATTTTACAAAAATATTTTAAGTAGAGTATGCCATGAAACTTCTAGAAATTCTTTATACATCTCTTAGGAGAAAAAAATTATGTATCTATATTTAATCGAAAATTAAAGATGAAGTAAAATAACAAAAATTTGTATAACTGATAGTTTTGCGTTACTCCGATTACACTGATCGACAAAATTCAACTTTTTGTCTGTTAAATGGAATATAAATGCTGCTTCTTATGGAAAATAGTGCTCTTATTTGAAATTTGTAGAGAATTTGTGTCAGACGAGGTTTGTTTTGTAGTATGCAATTAAAAAGTACCCACTATTATTAAGTTATTGGTTTTCTTTACTTACTTATAATAATCTCAATATGAATGTAATTGTGAACAATTATATATTGTATTTCATTTGAGTATATCCATTTTTAGTGCCCAGCAATAATCTGCAAGTATATTTTGATTCGATTTCCCTTTACAATTGTTTTTCATAATTGCTATGTCTTGGCGAAATCACCCACCGTGTTTGTCGCTCACAGCACCACTGTCTGGTGAGATTGATTGTTTTTAAATTTATTCTGCAGCCCTATCTGCTTGCGAATGATCTCGTTATAAAGCTTGAAATTTCTACTATTGCCGCTCATACTTTATCAGCGTCATTTGCAATATCTCATACGTCACAACGCGAAAGGAACTGTACTGTGTTGAGGCTCGTGGGAAAATAGCGGTTGTTTTCTGTTTCCGATTTCAGGCAAAGATACAACTGAAACTGCTGAAAGGTACCCAAATTTTATAAGACACTGTGACAGGTGACGATGTATGGTGCTCTCAATATGACCCACTATCAAAACAACAAAGTATGGAATGGTTAAACCCGAAAAAGAAAAAAACGAGGAAAGTCCGCCTGCAGAAAAGTGTGAAGTCATTGCTGAGAGTGTCATTGTTGAGAGTGTTGTTGAGGTTTTTGTATAAATATTGGACTTACTTTAGGACTTACTGGAGAGAAAGTGATTTACACAGACAAAGTGTTTCTAAAAAATAAATTATGGAAACTTGGAATACATTCTTCGTGAGCGCTAAAGCGAAATGTGCATTCAAACTAAATATTTGTTCTTGTCATGACGTAGAGATACTCGTAATCTGCAGTCGGAGTAGAAACCATAGTGCCAGGTTTTGGTGGGGCATGAACTCCTCGGCTCCAGTATCTCCTTACATACTTATCAACTTGGAAACCTCTCGACTTACCAATGTTCCGAAAAATGGGGTCAGCAGCTTTACTTTGCTAATACGGTGATTAGATAATTGATAATAGGAAGTTTTAGCTCCACGCGTAAGGTAGCTGCGTTATGCACTAACAGTCACGTGACAGACCTTGAAGTCATAATGTCTTACCTTAGGTCTAAGGTACGACATTAGACCTTCATAAATAGTGCACGCCTGTGAGAGTCTCTACGGTCACCTTACAAGCGACAAAATGGCCGCCTAAAAACAGGAAAAGGTGAATTTTTCCAACTCTGATAAACCGATTCTGGAATGTGAGGCCGTTACAATTATTCCTCACCAACTCCACAACGCTGACAATAATTAACGGGGTATGTTGGAAAGGTGACAGGAAAGAAATTCGCGAAAAAGGAGTTCAAATTATATGTTCGGGATAGGTTGTCTTATGCTCATAACGAACGCTGTTTTATATTTCCTTATTTTCAAGAAAAGCAGATTCAAAATTCCAGACTGTATACTCCTCAAGAAGAGCCACAAAATGTAAAACTCCCTGCACAATGTATATTTGTTATTCTGTTGACTCGTAACGTGTTTTAAATGTCTCACCACTAGCCCACACTCTATGATATATTATGCAATTTCTCTGTTTAACGCTTGAAATGCTTCCTTTGCTATAATGCATAACACAATATCGCAATAGCTAAAACTCTTCTGAACGTTGTTCATTACGATCGTATTAAGGAGTTAATCACGTGATCAATAGAGTTTAAGGATATCTTCTTACGCCTGGCGCTAAAACTCCCTAATGACGTTGGTAGCAAAGAGAGTAAAATTAATATATTACTTTCGCATGTTCTTACGTATACTGCACTCATTCATATATATGTAGTATAGATAATGTTATGAAATGCTGCTGAAAATGGATTTCGAAATTTTAGTGGAAATACAGGTTTTGGGGTATCCTGTAACAAATAAAGCGTTCTCTTTCTTTCAAAACGTGCTTACATTTCATAGGAGGTTTTTTTTTTCAAAATCAATATTCCCCGATCAATCTAGCCCGACTTGGCCTGCGGGTATGAAAATAATTCTTTGAATTTCGGTGGTACTTTACATGAAGCGGCTAATACATTTTCAATATTAATTCTTTAATTAAGAAGTTTTCTGGAGAAAATATCATCATCCTAAAGGCCAAAAGTGCCTTGTTGCTGCCGCCATGACATTCTGTCCTCCGCTGTCCTTTTCATATCTGCGTAGTTTTTTAATTGTAATTGGGTTTGAAATTGTTCCAAATTTTTTATATTATGTCTTCCTCTTTTTCCTTCTATTTTACATTCCGAACTTCTGTTTAAGAATTTGTTATTCCTAAAAATGTGTCCTAAAATGTTTGCTTTCCTTTTGCAATTATTATTTTTATATTTTTAATAGGAAACGTACCTAGTAATGATTCTAATGCTGGAGCTAAGCTGTCATATTTCATTCAAATAATTGCCCCTATATTGCACTTGATATGTTGCTAATAAACGTCAGAGGCTGTGAAATACTGGCCGCCGATATACGGTTCTCGCTACATGCTGGAATTTAGTTTGCCGCCCGACAACGTTTGCAAAAGATACAACACTTGTACTTAGACGCCAAGCGCTCGAAAAAGGGAACTGGACTAGGAAACAGCACGTATCGCGCAGCCAACACTTAGCGCATCAACCTCTGTGTAATCAGGGATATTTCTCTAGTTCAGGCGTTTCCCTTTGGTAGCGTTGGGTGTACGTCGAGTGTATCGGAAGTTTTTGTCGCCGAGGCACCCGCCAGCTTTGATTACTGGCGGGAATACTTTTACGATTTCGCAAGACCAGAATATCAAACACGACTTATATAGTGGCGATTCTCCCTTTGAGTCGTCCGAAATCATATTTAAATCACCCGAATACAAATTTGTGATCAGTAGGCGAAGGAGTTTTAGACTATAAAACTTTCATTTTAGGCGCCTAAAGCAAACTCTTAGAAGTGGAAAAAAGTGTTTAAAAATTATTCAATATGTCGTATTAATTAAGAATAAATTAATATTTTATAATGAATTTTATTTTAATTAAGGTTGTATTATTGACACTATTGTAAGTAATATTAAATAAATAACATGTTTTACCATAGTTAACTTCGAAGCAAAAATAAGTGTCCTCAGATAAATGACTATGTTTTTTCGAAGTAAAGGTAATGCTGCTTTAAATGTTCTGAACATCAACAAGATTACTTCCGTGAGTTTGAAAACAAACTAATTAGATTCCCGTATGTTGAATAAGGGCGTTTTATTGCAATTCATTTTCGACATTCTAGAAATTCAGTATAACCTATTCCTAGGACGTCATTTGTAGGCTGAGAGATCAAGGAAATGTAAACCGACAGAATGATTCAATTATGGGGTACCTCGAATCAAGTTCAGCATGAATGCACAACTCTGTAGTATTTCTGTAAAGTAAACCCAGCCGTGTAAGGGAGAAAGTAATTTGTGATAAGCGCTAGAAATAAGAAGCACCGAAACTGCTTGCGATAATGTTTCGAGAACATATAATAACGTAATTGTCTGCCCTTCAATGATTCATCCGAAACACACTTTTATTTAGTTTAGAAAATAAAAATCTGAAAATGATATCATTGAAGGATTTCATTTTTAGAATATAATTTGAACAGAGGCATTTAGGTACCGTAAATGTATAGTTTCTGTCAGATTGTTAAGTCGTGGAAAATATTTATTGCTAATTATGCATATGTCGAAACATTAAAATAGGCATTTGCTTAAAAATTCCATGTACAGTGACAAGTGACATACTCTTTCCTAAGAGTATACAAAAGAGGAAATAGTGTATGCACCAAATAGGTGCCTATGGCTGTCAAGTTTTACTTGTGTGGCTGAACCACGTGTCGTGCTCCTACTCCATCGGCCTCCCCGCCTCACTCCATCCATTGTTCGCCTTTGGTCGCTCACCTACCCTGTACAGAACTATACTCGGAATCGGGTTACGCGTACTAACCATTAGGATGCGGCCAACCACGCACGCGTGCAATCCCGAAGCAAAACCAAAGGAGTTCGTTTATGACAGTTTTATCCGCGGTGTTGAGAGCACCCCTACTCGTATTTTCCCGTACGAGAAACCCCCAACGTCTAAAAGTGCCCCGTACCCCGAAACATTTCATCGAGGCAACCCTGCACGGTGCTGCGCCGAGTGCTGGAGCCTACCGTGCAGTGTGATGAACTCTCCCTCGGCTGCGAAGTCGTCGAAGCCGGCCCAGCTCCACCCGGGCATCTCGCTCGCCGCCACCACCG